AATCCGGCCACTACAATATCCTACTAAAATATAGTGTTGAAATTCAAACAAAAAATGCCATAAAATCTATAAGATTTCAACCAAATAAAAAACATAATCTCCCAAAAATTTCTGAGAACTAAAAAATCATTCGTCTGTATATTGACAATAAATACGATGGAACACAATTGAAGTTCGACTGTTAACTTTTTCAACTGTGATCGCCAACAATGTCCAAGTAACTAATTATGGATTGACAAAATCATGTCACCATAGGTGTGTGAATAAAATGACTGTGTTAGACACACAATGATTCATATGAATTAGTGTGATATGACAGTAATACATCACAGTATCACAACTTTATTAATATTTTAAGTAGTAATAAAAGATGTGCAATTATTTTCTGATTCATACACAATTTAAATGGTATGCATCACATAGTGTGACATCACATTGTTACAACTATATTATTTTACCTATAATGTAAGAATCAAGAAATGTAATTGAAACTTTTTTTTTTATAATGTGACAAATACAATAGTGTCTATTATGTTGTTACACTATGATGTAATATTTTCATTCTTTAAAAATAATATATGTGTTTGTCAGACTATAGATGTCATATTGTGATGTCACACTGTATAAAAACACAAACCTGTCATCCCAAATTATTGTGATTTCCTCAAAACCGTTTTTTAGAAATTACGAATAAAATGTGCAATTTGTGGATGAACGAAATCTATAGATATCTTTTTTCAAATTTTGGATCGAAATCATTTAAACTTTGGCAAGCTTTTGATGGAGACGTGATCATCGTTGTATTTGCTATAATAGAAAATACAAACATGTGAGGAGATTTTCTCTCATCAAACAAGATAATTATGGGAAACAATTTCAGTTAATTAATGGAGAGATTTTATGCTAGAATTTACAAATAATAGAGGTGCACAAAATTCTAGATAGAGTCGATTACATACAAATGTAGAGAAGAGAAATTATAATTATGTGGGAGAGATTTTAGGAAAGGGAATCAACACCAGCCGTTGAGGTAAAAGAAGATGATATACGTTTAAAATTCAAATATACTAATATTCTAAAATAGGAAACCATTTTTAAGAAATGCCAAACTAACAGACAACGAATTATGAAAAAGAGAATTTTAGTAAATGAAAAATTTTAAAAATTATCATTGTTCTTATCTACAATATATTTTCATCAAGGTATTTTTCCACAAATAAGTAGCTTAGATGATATCTATACGCAATTATCCATTTTTTTTATGTCACTTGACGTTCTTAATAAATAGTTTTTTGGGTTAATAGTATTTTTTATCACTAAAGTAAGCATATGTTATCAATTTGGTCTATAAAGTATTCAATTCATATTTAAATGATCTCTAAAAAGATGGATTGTTAAGTTTTTTTTTATATAGATAATCACATGTTGAATACGTGATAGCGTTTCAAAAACTAACACGTGGTGACTTCCATCAAAAAAATTAATGAATTATCTGATTAAGGACTAAAGTGACATGAATTAAAATTTTAGGGATCAAATTAACAAAATTAATACAATGAGGTTCAAACTAACAAAACAAGCATATTTTAAAGATTAAAGATGTTATTAAACTTAGTTTTTTTTTTTTCTGTCATTTTAGATTCTAAATACTTAGTATTTTGTGTTATCTAATCCCCAAACCCTTGTATGGTCAAGATTATAAAACAAGAAGTAGGATAGAAATTCTATGCATCTAATAGTATCGTAGCTAGTTCAATTTTAAAAAAGTGTTTTGTGTGGAATGCGCCTTTGGTGTGACACCCTTAAAACTGGGGGTCCCGTTGACCACCCGTCAACCCGCGAAAATATCCGTGATTGTCGCATAACTTGACATCACGTCTATCTCATCCTGTAACTGGGATTACAACCAAAACGAGGATCCGTGTTTTCTTTAATTCATTTAATCCCATCGAGGTTCAACATACCTCAATGTATCTCATTTAAGGTCCATTTGTATTATTGGAACCAAAGAACACATAGCACAAAAGCATGGCAATGCATTATTAAATTTTCAGATTTTTGGAAAACCTTCCAGAAGGTTTGCTTACTGAAAAATTTCTACCGGAAGGTTTTATGGATCTTCCGGTAGGTTTTACCTATTGGACTAATTTCTACCGGAAGGTTTTACTTACCTTCCGGAAGGTTTGCCCACTGGACAAAAAATTGCATGAACCTTCCGGAAGGTTTTGTAGACCTTTCGGTAGGTTTTACCTACTGGACAGAAAATTTACGCTAACTTTCCGGAAGGTTGTTGTGACCTTCCGGAAGGTTTTGCCCAGAATTTCATGCTTCATCAGATTTTCATTTCCAATTCATCCAACACTTTCCCAAATTCATTCCAAACATGTATAATGACATTTTCTACATTATACATGATCCATACAAGTTCTATTACAAGCATTTGCATAATTTTTTTTTACATGTTAAAACATTGTTCCAACAAAAATTATCACAAGTCGACTTTTCTTCATTGTTAAGGTCCCGAATGCGAGTCCTCTTCCAGTACGAACCCCGCACCTGAATGTTTCTCATATAGGGTGAGCCAACGATAAGTAGAAAATTTCTTTTAGAAGCTACTCCCCGACCTAAGTGCATATGCCATGTTCTCATGCAACAATCACAAACATAATTCCATTTCATCCAAGAACATGCTATTCAAGATGAAATTNTCCAGTACGAACCCCGCACCTGAATGTTTCCCATATAGGGTGAGCCAACGATAAGTAGAAAATTTCTTTTAGAGGCTACTCCCCGACCTAAGTGCATATGCCATGTTCTCATGCAACAATCACAAACATAATTCCATTTCATCCAAGAACATGCTATTCAAGATGAAATTCCTACTATGCCATGTCATGATATGAGATGAGACTCACTCATGCATTTCCTTTATCCAAGCCTATTCCGTCTTCCACAACATTATGCAATGCATATGTGTAAAACATTTGTCTTTGATAAAATACATCAAAAGATTACTTTGAAGCAACTCATGTGCTTATAAAAACCAATTCATTTCTGGATGTTTTCCATCAAATGAATCATTTATATAACCAAAACCATGTGTCTTTATTTGGGTAGTGGACTTTTGGTATTGCACCACTGGCTCCACACACCGATACACTTTTTTGGACTTGCACCGTAGGAAGTGTATAAACCAGTAGTCGGGCCTTGCACCCGAGGGGGGGATCTATCCCTTCTTGCTATACTCGACACAAATTTTTCATGTATGCAACCGTGCGACTCAGTAGGATATTCAACCCCATTTTCCCGAGCCCACCCATCAAAACACCAAGTATGGTGATTGATCCAACCATGCACAATATACACCCACACTCATGCTTAAGCCCTTGAATGTGATGTTTTCATACACATGCAATATTATAAACCATTGCAATGCCTATGTCATGCTCAATGTAATGAATGCCAATGAGCTAAATGTAACCACACATTTCAACATGTGTTATGACAATTTATATCTTATGTACATAATCACCAATTTCATCACAAGTCAACATAGCAAGGAACATATATTGACATTTGATATTCAACCACAATTCACAACAAGCATGTTATACATAACTCATGCCAATAACACATTCAATTGTCAAGGCATAAAATAAACACATAATATGCCCACCAATGCCAATTCCCAAGAAAACACCCAATAATTTCTATACATTAACCCAAGCTAGGAATTGATTTTAAGTCATTTCTATACCCATTTTCACAACCATAGTCAAATGACCTATGTTACTCAATACCTTTACCCATTCCATAATACACCCTAGGTAAGAAATCAACTAAAGTAGGAGGAATCCTACCTCTTGGAGCGTATAAGAAATAGTAGAAGCCTCAAGACACTCTTCTAGCCCCCAAAACCTTGATTTTTTCAAAATCCTCCTCTCGGATCTTCAGTGAAACTCTTCGTTCTTGGTACGTACGCATAGCCCTCATCACATAAATGAAGTTTAGTTCTTGGTCCAAGCGATTTCGACCGATAGAACACCTTGGATCGTAGAAGAAAGGTAGAAAAATGAATTTTTCCCTCTTCTCTCTCTTTAACGCCTGAAGTAGCCAGCCAAATGGGTGAAAAAATATCTGATTTTTCAGATATTAACCCCTATTTATACTTTTAATTGCGCGGTCCACATTGCCCCACTCGTTTATCACTTTCGAGTCCGTTTTTAGCTCGAAACGACTTAATTAAATTTTGATTTTAGTTCAAATTAATTTTATTTGAACCTTTATCCAATTATAAAGAAATTTTATGATTTCCATTTTTGGGGACCTCTAAAAGTTCATTCGTCAACAAATTGTCTCAAAAAACGTGCAAAATCCGACTATCTCGAAATTCAACGAAAATTAACGTGGTAACTCAATTTCACGATATGAATCCAATGATGAAGTCTGTTGCTCTATTCAAGCTCTATAGAACACATGCATTTTAACCACATAATAGTGGCAAATTACTATTTTGCCCCTTTTTTGGAAAAAAATTAAAATTTCTCGGATTTTACATTCTTTCCCCCTTAAAAGAATTTCGTCCCCGAAATTCACACATACATACACATTCAATCACATGCATATGTAACAGTTATATAATGTCAAATGACTGTACGAATGTACCTCCATCCTCAAATAAGAAAGGATAACTGGTAACGCTAATCTGTAAGCCACTGCACCCACCCTCCCTATTATATATAATTAGTGCCCTTTCTTCCATCTCCGAAGGATGGGGGGTATATAGTGAAAGAATCGTCGACTGCTCGGTGACCAAATCCGAGAGGTTTTTACCGCTTTCTCTTTTCTCCAACACTCTCAGACTGATCATCTTGCTGCAACAAAGCAAGCTTAGGAATGAATCTAATAGAAATTTAGGTCCTTTGATTTTAGGCCGCTTGGAAGATTTATTTTTCTTTCCTCTTCATCCGGTGAAAGAGGGCAAACGTGTGTGAGAGAAATCATTCTAAAAGGAGAGAAGATTTCGTCCACCAAGCGGGACAGAGTGCAACCCCTAAGCAATTGGGGGTTCTCACACATCTCTTGGGGTCCATATCATCGAAAAAATTTTCCTGTTCCATTAGCATAGCTAAATTGGAATAGGATGACTCAGCGTCAGGAAAAGTAAGCCCCCTTGCCTTGATTGAATTTGGCTTCGCTGCGCCCTGAATCAATCAATAAGCTTATTGATTTGATTCATCCCATTTCATTTCATTTGGGCGAGAGGGAGGCTGTGGAGGAGTCACCTGGGCTGCGGATTTGTCGGTTGGTTGATTCTCGAAATCACCTCTTGAAAAAAAAAGGCCCTCGGGTCCCGAAAAATGAATAGANGGGTGAGAGGGAGGCTGTGGAAGAGTCGCCTAGGTTGCGGATTTGTAGGTTGGTTGATTCTCGAAATCACCTCTTGAAAAAATAAGGCCCTCGGGTCCCAAAAAATGAATAGAAAACGAGGCGGGGGTCTTTCATTAAAGGAAGGGGGAGAGATAAAAGAGGGGTGGGGCTTTGTTCTGTGGGGGGCCGCCTTGAGCAGCTTTGGAAAGGAGAGAATTTCAGAAAGTCACTCTCTCCAACCTAAACTATCTATCCTTAGAAGTAGGGCGAGAGAAAGTCAATATGGTATTTGCGTTGGTTTTTCCAACGAAACTAAGCACTTTTTTTCTTTATCATTCGGAAGGCTCAGNAAGAGAAAGCCAATATGGTATTTGCGTTGGTTTTTCCAATGAAACTAAGCACTTTTTTTCTTTATCATTCGGAAGCCTTAGTCCCACACTCTGACTGCAATGATGGGAACAAGCTCCGCACTCTGGCGCTCCAATGAACAACAGTTCCCCGCCTTACTATATTTAGGATAGTGGTCGANGGTAAAACTCTTCGTTCTTGGTACGTACGCATAGCCCTCATCGCATAAATGAAGTTTAGTTCTTGGTCCAAGCGATTTCGACCGATAGAACACCTTGGATCGTAGAAGAAAGGTAGAAAAATGAATTTTTCCCTCTTCTCTCTCTTTAACGCCTGAAGTAGCCAGCCAAATGGGTGAAAAAATATCTGATTNAGGGGGCATACTTGACAAGAGATAGACATAGGCGATAGAGAGGTCCCCCACTTCGATTCTTGCCCCCTTAGCATCTTCGATCCGAGATAAGGGATTATCCCATTAGGTCTTTTCGGTCCGGAGCCGGCCGTTAATGGACCTACTTACCTTGCTTGTACCAGTTACAGAGCTAACCCTTGTTCTATTGTTCTATTGGTTTGGTGCTACCAAGACGATTTCTTTATGCCCATTAAAGGACCTCGAGATGCTAATCCACGAAAAATGATACGAGAAATTCGAAAAAACTCATATATGGAACAAGGGCAACCCGTGAAAATACATCAGTTTCTTACTCGCGCAAAGGAACTATTTCTTGGCAACTTGGACAACTTATAACGATGTTTGTCCCGCATATCACTAGGAAGATCGGGATCTTTACAAAAGGCTTTATAAAGCTTTCGTCTCAATTCATATTTAGCCGCGAGCAATCTACGTTTGTGATCTCGTATATTTCGCTTCTCCGACATCTTACTGAGTTTCCCCCTCATCTTTTTGCAAAAAGCCGCTCCACGGTGGTAAAGTCTCATCTTGNGCCCTCATCTTTTTGTAAAAAGTCGCTCCACGGTGGTAAAGTCTCATCTTGTGTGTTGGCCGAAGTGACAATAGTCACATTGAACCCTCGAATATGTTTGAAGATCTCTAAATGCGCTTCTAGTTCCGGGGAGAATTCGCAAAACTCCGTTTCCATCGAGAATTGAATGGAGTTTTCCCGTATTTCGACCGGAGAATCTAACAGAGACATTACTGTGGAGATTCTGACCAAAAAATGAGACATTCCATGCCCTCGGAGAGTGCTTTGTCGTGCTAGGTCACTGACATATCCCTTTTTGTCTTTATTTGACCCCAAGAATGGATTGGATCGAAACGACTTTCCTGTCGAAGCCTTTTCTGTCTGTATGAATTTCTGACTGCGCGGAATCTCCATAGCCAATTTTCCATTTTTGATTATGAAATCAGAAGGTGCTGCCTTTGGTACTACTCTTATTTTACACGATCCAGGAACTTCCATAACGTTGGCGTGATTCGGTTTGAGCAACGAATCCTGACGTGATANTTTTCTGTCTATATGAATTTCTGACTGCGCGGAATCTCCATAGCCAATTTTCCATTTTTGATTATGAAATCAGAAGGTGCTGCCTTTGGTACTACTCTTATTTTACACGATCCAGGAACTTCCATAACGTTGGCGTGATTCGGTTTGAGCAACGAATCCTGACGTGATACATCTTCGTAATGAAAATGGAGTGGAAACATGAGTTGGCTTTTCCAGNTGTTGGCGTGATTCGGTTCGAGCAACGAATCCTGACGTGATACATCTTTGTAATGAAAATGGAGTGGAAACATGAGTTGGCTTTTCTAGTATCTATAGAATGAGCACTGTGAACTATCTGCTTCAAAAAGATAGTTGTAAGAATGAAACTTCAACCTTCGATCGGAATACGGATGAGATCAGAAAGGCCATCATTGGGGCAAACGATGCAATAGCTTCGGTTAGAGCAAAGCCCAAAATGGCATAACCAAATGATTGTTTAGCCAATGATGGATTTCGCGCCACGGAATGAATCGAGGAACTAAGGACGTTTCCAATACCGACAGCAGCTCCCGCTGAAGCAATTGTAGCAGCTCCGGCNTGCCACGGAATGAATCGAGGAACTTAGGACGTTTCCAATACCGATAGTAGCTCCCGCTGAAGCAATTGTAGCAGCTCCGACACCCATTAATTTTGCACCTTCTAACATCTCGAGTTGAGAATTCTCGTCACGCTTTTTCATTCATGATTTTATGTTATAGATTCCTCGTCGATTCTTCCCCTCGTTCCTTTTCTCTTTGGCATCTCACTTGGAATGCAATGCATTCTTTTCGATCTTGTACCCCCTATTTGAGAAAGCTTTTTATTGGCTTTCCGGGTAAGTGCGGTACACTGAACACCAACCTAANAAGAAAGCTTTTTATTGGCTTTCCAAGTAAGTGCGGTACATTGAACACTAAATTCATCTGAAAATGACAAGCAACTACATCAACAACCTTTATTACTGACGTGAACGACTGCTTTCTTGGAACTAATTCATAGGGGCTTAGTCAACTAACTATATATATAAACAAATATAACATGCAATATTTATAAACATTTCAACCAAACTCTTTGTTTGCGAAGGCCGAAGGAAAATGCGTTCTTGAGTCAACAAGCTTTCTCCTCTTTGTGACCCTTAGAAAGCCTTTTTCAGCAACCCGATTCATCATGGAATTCAATGAAAACATTGACTCCCTTGCTTTGGTGGAACCAAAATGGGAAGGGGACTCCTTCACGTGGTCTAACAAAGAGTTCGGCCGAAGAAGAATAGCTCGCAAGTTAGACAGAATTCTGGTTAACCATGAGATTGTTACTCTCTTCTCCGAAGCTAAAGTTATTACAGGTACTAATGGACTCTCTGACCATGCCCCAGGCATTATTCAGTTGAATCACTCAGTGCAGCACAGCCATAAACCTTTAAGGTTTATTAATGCGCAGTCTANTGGTATTAATGGACTCTCTGACCATGCCCCAGGCATTATTCAATTGAATTATTCAGTGCAGCACAACCATAAACCTTAAAGGTTTATTAATGCGCAGTCTAATCATCCCGACTTTCTCTGAACTGTGGAGCAAGCATGGAATATCCGAGTTGAGGGCAACCCCATGTTCCAAGTGGTCCAAAAGCTTAAAGCGGTCAAAGAGGCGCTGAAAAGTTAGAACGTTACCACCTTTGGCAAAATAGATGAAAGAATCAAAGTCCTTAAAGATAAGCTGTACGAGATCCAAACCATTCTTGCGAAGGACCAAGGAAATGAGCAAGCAGCGATGGATGAAACTCGAAAACTATATGAACTTAATGCAATGCTTGACGCGGAGGAGTCTCTTATGAGACAGAAAGATCGGGTCCTGTGCTTGAAAAATGGAGATAGANTTCGAAAACTATATGAACTTAATACAATGCTTGACGCGGAGGAGTCTCTTATGAGACAGAAAGATCGGGTCCTGTGCTTGAAAAATGGAGATAGAAAGACAAGAACTATATGAGCAGCCTTACCCGAAAGAAGAGCCCGAAAGACTTTGCGTTCCATTAAAGATGATAACGGCCACATGGAACATGGGGAGACTAGCATCAAGGCTGCTGCAGTTGATAATTTCCTTGGGACAGATCAGATCTTGCAATGTGAACAACCATTTTCAGTTTGAGAAAGTCCTTAATGAGGATCAGTAGCTAGGATTAATTCGACAGGTTACGGCGGATGAAATCGAGAAGGTTGTGCTGAGTTTTAACTCGGATAAAGCCCCGGGTCTGGATGGATTCAATGCCCACTTTTTTCAGGTCTGTTGGGGAATCATCAAATATGATGTGTGCAAAGTTGTATCGAACTTCTTTCGAAGTGGAAAGCTGTTAAAACAGGTCAACTCAACTTTTCTTGAGCTGATCCCTAAGGTGGATAACCCGGGGGTCTTTGAGGAGTTCAGACCTATTTCATTGTGCAACGTGCTCGTAAAGAAAATCTCGATAATTTTGGCGAATCGGCTTAGGGAAGTGCTTGATGAGTTGGTGGGTCCCCATCAGTCGGCTTTCATTAAAGGCAGGAACATCAGTGAAAACATTCTTCTGGCTCACGAGCTGGTCCGTCACTTTCATAGAGACAAAGGAACTCCTAAGTTTTGCGCCAAGTTAGATATTCGCAAGGCGTACGACTCCGTTCCTTGGGATGCTGTCCTCAATACCCTTGAATCCTTGAAGTTTCCTGAAATTTAGGTAAGATGGATTAGAGAATGTATCTCCATAGTGTCCTTTGCAGTTATGATTAATGGATCTCCATCTAGCTTCTTTAGGGGGGGCTGCGGTTTGAGACAGGTCTCTTAGAGCCTATCTTTTCACCCTAGTCATGGAAATATTTAGCCAGCTTTTTAACAGGGGAGTAAACAACAACCTGATCACCTATTCAAGAAGATTTCATAAACTCTATCTTTCTCATATAATATATGCTGATGATGTACTCATTTTCGCAGATAGCTCCGTGCGTAATGCCTTGGCCATCAACCAGAATGAGTTTCACAGCTGGGCAGGTCTTGGGATTAAGAAAGCCAAATGTTCCCTATCATTCTCGGCCACCAGTTATAGGGTCAAACGAAAAATCATTTGTACTCTTGTATAACTTAGATGGGGAGGTGCAGCTCCCTCTCAAATACTGGGGACTGCCCCTAGTCTCTACCAGATTGAGACNCTGTCATTCTAGGCCTCCAGTTATAGGGTCAAACGAAAAATCATTCGTACTCTTGTATAACTTAGATGAGGAGGTGCAGCTCCTTCTCAAATACTGGGGACTGCCCTTAGTCTCTACCAGATTGAGACACTCCGACTGTCTCCTCTTCTTGGACAAGTTCAATCACCGAATTAGCAATTGGAAAGGAAGGTGGCTGTTATATGCCGAAAGAATGGAGCCATCTCCTCCGTGCTTGCAAGCCTTGAGTGCTTGCAAGCCTTCACATCTATTAATCGTCCGCTTTCAGGCTTTCGGAGAAGGAAATCCATTTCATTGAGCATTCGGAATTTCTTTTGGTCAGGCCCCGAACCCACCTATAAGATCCATACGATCAGCTGGTCCAATGTAGACCGGACCGAAGGATGAAGGTGGATTGGGTTTAAGAACTATTGAGGGCTGGAATAGGACTGCNTGATCAGTTGGTCCAATGTAGACCGAAGGATGAAGGTGGATTAAGTTTAAGAACTATTGAGGGATGGAATAGGACTGCCATGTTAAAGCTTTTCTGGAGAATAGTTAATGATAATGGGTCCATTTGGACTCAATGGGTTCATTTTAGATATCTCAGGAGACATTCTATTTGGGTGGCTAATGCNCGATCAGTTGGTCCAATGTAGACCGAAGGATGAAGGTGGATTAAGTTTAAGAACTATTGAGGGCTGGAATAGGACTGCCATGTTAAAGCTTTTTTGGAGAATAGTTAATGATAATGGGTCCATTTGGACTCAATGGGTTCATTTTAGATATCTCAGGAGACATTCTATTTGGGTGGCTAATGCTATTATCAAGTTTCAGATTTGTAATGGCGAAAGCACGAAGCTGTGGCATTGCCTTAGTCTCAAATAGGGCTTAGAAATGGCCCGATCAGCTACAGGTACGAGGTCACTGTTCTAATGGAAACAGGTCTCCCGGANCATCAAGTTTCAGATTTGTAATGGCAAAAGCACGAAGCTAAGGCATTGCCTTAGTCTCAAATAGGGCTTAGAAATGGCCCGATCAGCTGTAGGTACGAGGTCACTGTTCTAATGAAAACGGGTTTCTCGAACCATGCTCTAGTAAGTGATTTCATCCAAAAGGGGTATTGGAACCTCCTCCTAACCGCAGAATGGCTGGACAGTGTCTAATGCAAGGGAATGTCCTGTATGAACTCCCACAGCTCCCTATTGAAGACAGGTTAGTCTCTCAACCCGGATGGAAATAGAAACTCCAAAACAGCCTGGAACCTCATTAGGCAGATCCATCCNCGATTTCATCCAAAAGGGGTATTGGAACCTCCTCCTAACCGCAGAATGGCTGGACAGTGACTAATGCAAGGGAATGTCCTGTATGAACTCCCACAGCTCCCTATTGAAGACAGGTTAGTCTCTCAGCCCGGATGGAAATAGAAACTCCAAAACAGCCTGGAACCTCATTAGGCAGATCCATCCTAAGGTCGACTATGCAGGCATCGTTTGGAACAAATTCAATATCTCCAAGCACAGTATTATCGCCTGGATGGCCCTCAACTCTGGGCTTCTTACAGCAGATCGAGTTAGCANCTTACAACAGATCGAGTTAGCAGATTTTATCCCAACATCGTGACTGTTTGTGGCCTGTGCATGCTTGAAGATGAAAGTGCTGAACATCTCTGTTTTCANCATCCTAAGGTCGACTATGCAGGCATCGTTTGGAACAAATTCAATATCTCCAAGCACAGTATTATCGCCTGGATGGCCCTCAACTCTGGGCTTCTTACAGCAGATCGAGTTAGCAGATTTTATCCCAACATCGTGACTCTTTGTGGCCTGTGCATGCTTGAAGATGAAAGTGCCGAACATCTCTGTTTTCGGTGCAAATATGTAGGGTGGATTTGGGCTCAGCTCTGTTCTAAATTTGGATATGATCAGCCTGCAACCAACCTTCATGATGTTTGCCGATGGATTAATGAAANTTTGTGGCCTGTGCATGCTTGAAGATGAAAGTGCTGAACATCTCTGTTTTCAGTGCAAATATGTAGGGTGGATTTGGGCTCAGCTCTGTTCTAAATTTGGATATGATCAGCCTGTAACCAACCTTCATGATGTTTGCTGATGGATTAATGAAATCAAAACTAAGAATTCGGCCTTTACTGGCCTGATCCTAAAGCTCTCCTTTACAGNAGCTATGCAGGGTGGATTTGGGCTCAGCTCTGTTCTAAATTTGGATATGATCAGCCTGCAACCAACCTTCATGATGTTTGCCGATGGATTAATGAAATCAAAACTAAGAATTCGGCCTTTACTAGCCTGATCCTAAAGCTCTCCTTTACAACAATCATATACTATGTTTGGCGTGAGATAAATTCCAGGCGCCATGAAGGGAATCCAAGCAGTAAGCAGAACGTCGTTTTGGAAAATTGTAAGGGAAGTCAAATTGAGACTGCATTCGGTTTCCTATCAGATGAAATTGAGAGTTATTTACTTTTTTTTTCACTCAATTTTGGAGAGTGCATGGTCACCCTGCTCAGCCATCTATGGCTGAATGTTACTCTTCTTCGAACCCTCCGAAAAGAAGAGTGAACACAGACGGTTCAGTAGCAAGGGACTTTATCGGCCATCCTCTTTGGGCTTTTCGGAAGACGGTTGAGTGGAGAGAGATTTGGAAGGTGAAACTTTATGCAATCTGCCATACATACGGTGGAGATGGCTTCGCGAATGGGCATTCGGAACCTTTGGGTAGAGTCTGACTCATTATATGCAGTCAAGATGATTAACTCCCAATACAAGCCCCATTGGGAAGCGCGAAATATGCTGCTGAGCTTCACTGAAAATGCAAGAGCCTTACAGTCAGTCTTTTAGAGTCACCCATTGTTGGAGGGAGAGCAATAGAGCCGCCGACTTTATTGCGGGATGTCGAAAGCGAATATCCGAGTTGAGGGCAACCCCTAGTGNTTGCAAAATATGTTGCTGAGCTTCACTGAAAATGCAAGAGCCTTATAGGCTTTTAGAGTCACCCATTGTTGGAGGGAGAGCAATAGAGCCGCCGACTTTATTGCGGGATGTCGAAAGCGAATATCCGAGTTGAGGGCAACCCCTAGTGATTAACTTGCCTTAGCCCACATCTATCTAATAAGAGTCCTTACCCCGCATTCATCAATATCAATAAAAGTCGCAGGCGTGAAGGTTTAGTATACTCACTTCTAGTTACCGCACAACGTCCTATCTTCATTCCCTTGGAACTATGTATTGCAGTTGGCAGATCACANTATTCATCAATATCAATAAAAGTAGCAAGCGTGAAGGTTTAGTATACTCACTTCTAGTTACTGCACAACGTCCTATGTTCATTCCCTTGGAACTATGTATTGCAATTGGCAGATCACAAAAGGAAGTCAATAACATACTAGAGTAGACGGTAGGGGGGAAGGAACTGATTTAGCAATACAGCTAAACCACTAATTCTCTATAATAGGTGCCTATCTCTTTTCTTTTGTTACAGAATTCAAGAGAGAGTAAGGCATGAAAGATCAGAGAAAAAGGAATCAGTCTTAGAAGTTCATAGACGGTTAAATGCAGTCCTCGGAGAATAACTAGGAGAGAANTAAGGTATGAAAGATCAGAGAAAAAGGAATCAGTCTTAGAAGTTCATAGACGGTTAAATGCAGTCCTCGGAGAATAACTAGGAGAGAAAGAACTAGGAAGAAATAACTCTAGCAACAGGGAAAGAGAACTCCTAAGAGTAAGAGCAGCCCTTCGTGTAGGAAGGTGTAGGAGCGAAGCCACTCTTGCCCCTTCTTCCACTAGTCTTAGAGCGGAAAGAGTCACCGAGAAAAGGCATGAAGGGGCTTACTAATAATAAAGATAAGGCATAAATGAAGGAGGTTACTAAGGAATGAAGGAGCCTAGTCTATTTGAGGCGGGATGCCCAAGAATAGAAGTAGCCATATGCCGAAAATCGTCTTCTGTGATGTCAGGGAGAAATCGTCTGCTCACTTGCGACAAGAGGGCATTCTCTGCCATTGATTCTAGCACAACCGATTCGATGTCAAAGGACAAAGGAAAGGCGACAAAAGCTCTTATTCCAACAAGCCCAGAAAAGAAAGAGGAGAAATTGGCTTCATTCTTACCGATGATATTACCAGTTATTCCGACAACAGCTTATGATATCACCCTCGGGTCACTCCCTAAAGAGTGAAATCCATTCCTTTAGCATAGCAAGGCTACGTGGTCTTCTCTTCCCACAGCTGATTCTATACCAGTCTTCTATNATGAAATCCATTACTTTAGCATAGCAAGGCTACGTGGTCTTCTCTTCCCACAGCTGATTCTATACCAGTCTTCTATCCAACAGCGCTTACTCTTGAACCGGTTACTCTCGTTGCGGTTATTGCATCAAGCACGGGTTACGAAAGCAAGGGCGTTAAGGCTTTCCGGGCCTAAGGACTCTTTTCTCGGTGGTACTAGAATATGCATGTAAGGAGCGCATTCATGAGCACTAGCTTTCCTGGGTTGGGGGAGTATTGAAGTAAGTTATCCCACTAATGCAATTCGATGCTTCCTGCGTCGAAGGAAAGTATGGTCAATCAGTCGAAGACTCCCTCAAAGCCCCTTCTCGAGACACTCTTTCTTAGTCCCTTTGCCTTCTCCACTTTCAATGCTATCGTCCTGGTTTCATATGTCCAAGACACCTTTGAAAGCCTTACCTTCCCTTACTTATAGAAAAGGGTGGGGTTGAGATAACGATAGGTGAAGGTTTAGGGATAGTGNATTTCTTAGTCCCTTTGCCTTCTCCTTTTCGATGCCATCTATTATTTCCCCTTAGATGTCACTTTCTCTATCAAATCAAAGAGTGGCTATTCACCATCAGGAAAGACAGTAAGCCAAGGAAAGGAAGAACTTCACTTCTAAGCTGGCATAAGGGATTCAAAACCAAAAGCACTAGGAAGAGAATGCAAGTTGGGAATGATTAACCTGATTGATTGACCTAAGGAAAGCAAGGAACTTCTAACCCTAAGGCTTATGGAATTGATGCTTTCAAGTGCTAGGCCCCTTTTGAAAAAGGAATTGATAGAGGTTGGATCAATAGCAATAGTTCAGATAGCCACGAATAGGATTGATGCATAGGCTGCAAGGAAGGGAATGGGCAATTAGGACCAATAGGCTTCGATGAATGCCTTTCTTTCGAGAAGATGCTTTGAAGGAGAAGGCAAGCAACTACATAGTTAATGCGAGGAGGATTTTATCCTATTAGAATGAAGCAGGAATCATCCAAAGCATAAAGCCCACACCACATGGATTCCTACGAAAGAGGGTACGTAGCGGGAAGAGATTGTGCACAAAGAATAAAAATGCCATTGATTCAAAAGCTATCCACTAGATATGAAAGATATCCCCGAAGAGGATTGATGCCGAGACTAGATTCGAAACTAGGGAAGGTCGAAGGTGCTTTGATGGAATTACCAGTCCAAGCCCAATTAAATCAATAGATGCGGGATTATCGGTCTTAGGAAAAGCAGTGGGCAAATCCCCTGGTCTGGAAGCGAATGGCTTGTTTGCAAGTAGAATCATAGGCTTTAGATTCGACAGTGGGGATGCCGCAGAAGTCACTTCAGGGCGATACGGAGTATAATCAGTCCACGTGCAGAGACTGTGAGGGAGGTTTGGATAGGACACTGAAAGCTTAGTAAGGGCAAGAACTAAGATGCCCATTTTCCAAGAAGGAACTGCACATCTTAATCCATTAATATATCCACGGGGAGGCAAGCTATTATACTATAGGGTGTGAGGGAGAATTCAGCCCCTGCTTGAGAAGAAGCTGTGGCACTTATGTTCTCGAATGTGGGACTTGCGAAAATAGGCTCTGAGGGAGGGTTCCTCAGATGATTGCTTCTATCGACTGTCCTTCTCCATGTTGATTAGGGAAGCCTCTCAATGTGCAACCTAACTTTGCTCAGCTAGTGCTACTCTACTCTTTCTTTTGGCCTGATCTCGTAAAGAAAGGAAGGCTCATGAATGACCAATCCCGGGAGGAAGACCATTATTCTGCTTCTGTCTGGTCATACTAGGCCATTAAGGTCTCACTACTGACTATGTTCATCTTTGTATCCCCAAGGAAATCCCATGCATTGAGATAACAGGTTGGGTCANGAAATAGGCTCTGAGGGAGGGTTCCTCAGATGATTGCTTCTATCGACTGTCCTTCTCCATGTTGATTGGGGAAGCCTCTCAATGTGCAACCTAACTTTGCTCAGCTAGTGCTACTCTACTCTTTCTTTTGGCCTGATCTCGTAAAGAAAGGAAGGCTCATGAATGACCAATCCCGGGAGGAAGACCATTATTCTGCTTCTGTCTGGTCATACTAGGCCATTAAGGTCTCACTACTGACTATGTTCATCTTTGTATCCCCAAGGAAATCCCATGCATTGAGATAACAGGTTGGGTCATCATCAAACACAGGAATGGGTGCTCAATCAATGGAATGTTTGCTTTTTTCTGTCTTCTAGTCCATTGCTTATCAAATCTCAATCTTAGGTTGAGGTCGAAACAAGGGATCATATCAACCTATTGAATCTAGTATTTATAAAGCATTTCCAGTCAAAGAGGGGAATAGATCTCAATCGAGAGGGTGAACTGCGGGCTCATGCCACTCACCTTCACCAAATAAAGAAAAGACGGGTTCTAGGGGTCCTTCTCAGGCATGTGATTCAGGCTCGTCA